CAGTAGAATTCAACAACATATCAGAAAGATTATCCACCCATACCCAGTGGGATTTATTCTTGGTATGCAGGGATGGTTCAATGTTCAAAAATCAATCAATGTGATATCCACATTAACAAACTGCAGAGGAAAACCATATTATTATCCCAATAGATGCAGAGAAAGCATTTGATAAAATACAACACTCTTTTATGATGAAAATTCTAAACAAATTGTGTATAGAAGGAACATTCCTCAACACAATCAAAGCAATTTATGAAGAACTCACGGCCAGCATGAAAAATGTTCAAGATCATTAGCCATCACGGAAATGCAAATCCAAACCACAATGAGGCTTTACCTCACCCTGTTAGAATGGCTTACATACAGAAATCAACTAACAACAGATGCTGGTGAGGATTTGTGGGAAAAGGCACACTAATCCACTCTTGCTGTGAATTCAAATTGGTAGAGTCACTATAGAAGACAGTTTGGAGTCTTCTCAGAAACCAGAATATAGCCATACCACATGACCCAGCCATCACACTCCTCAACATTAACACAAGTGAAATTAAATTGGCAAATAAAAGAGCTATCTGGACCTCAATGTTTATTGCAGCTCAATTCACAATAGCTAAGACATGGAATGGGCCTAAATGCCAATCGATGGAAGACTGGATAAAGAAACTATGGATATGTATTCTATAGAATTGTACACAATAGTAAAAAAAATGAAATGCAGTCATTTGCAACAAAACAGAGGAATCTGGAAAAATCATGCTGAGTAAAATAAACCAGTCCCAAAGGGACAAATATCATATGCTCTCCCTGATCTGTGACAACTAACTGATCACCTAAATGGAAACCTGTAGAAGTGAAACTGACACTATGATAAGCAATGACTTGATCTACACTTGTTCTGACTTTCAAGGAACAGCTTACTATTTTATTCCTCTTAGTATTTTTTTTCTATTCAATGCATTCTTTGAACTCTTTAATTAACACAGAAATTTTCTTAGGGGTATAAATCCAACTGTAGTGATATCCCTGTTAAAAATAGGGGTGGAGTAAGAGAGATAGGAGATGTACATATTGTCATATGCACCCTTGGATTTACCCCTAATGGTAAATCTAAAAAGGTGCCATGGGGCTCCAAACCCATTAAGTTGGCAGATACCAATGCCATCTTACTAGGTAAATTGATCAGTTGAAGTTCATAACTGATCATAAAGGTAGGATTAAGTGTCAAAGGAATCACATAAACAAGTCCAGTGTCTGGTAATAATAACTGATAGAATTAAAAAGGAGAGAACGATCCCAACATGGGAACAGGATACACAGCAGACTCATATGCCCTTAACAGTACTTTGGCCTCAGAATCAGCCCTTAAGGCATTTGGATTTGGCTGAAAATTCCATGATTGCAACAGAGGCATGGAAATCCAAGATACTGTGGTAAAAAAAGGCCTAAATGAAGGATCTCTGTGAGTGAGATCCATTGAAAGAAGCAGCCAACAAAGAAGGAAGTACCTTTTTATGAAGGGAGGAGAGAACTTCCACTTCGATTATGACCTTGTCTAAATAGGTTAGGTGAGAGTTTGTGAACTCAAGAGGCTTCCATAGCCTTGGAAGCTCATGACAAGAGCCTCAGATGATTACTGATGTCATAAATAAGTGTGTCAATTGCTAAATCCACAACAGGAGTCACTGTGAACTTGCACCCCTTGTAGGACCTCTGTCTTTAATGTGTTATACTTTGAGAATTATCGCTAAAACGAATCTTCAAAATTTACTTTACAAAAAAAAAACACTTTACTTTATAGTTTGTGTGTCTGTGTGGGTGCAAACTGTTGAAATTTTACTTAGTATAGAGTTGATCTTCTGTATAGAAACATAATTACAAATGAATCTTAATGATGAATAGGATGAGAGAGGGAGTAAGAGATGGGATGGTTTGTGGGAGGGTGGGTGGTTATGGGAGGAAGAATGTAATACTTTATCCATTTTAGTATTTTTTTTGTTCTAGTACTATTGGTTGAACTCTGTAATTAACGCACAATTATTCTTAGGTGTTTAAATTTTAAGTGAAAAGTGATCCCTGTTAGGAATCTGGAAAGCATTATGCTGAGTGAAATAAGCAAGTCCCAAAGGGACAAATACCATAGGTTCTCCCTGATCCGAGACAACTAACTGAGCACCAAAAAGGAAACCTGTTAAAGTGAAATGAACACAATGAAAAATGATGACTTGATCAGCCCTTGCCCTGACTGTTGATGAACAAATTAATACGTTATCCCTCTTAGTATTTTTTGTTTGTTCTACTTAATACTTTTTGTTGAATAATGTAATCAATACACAGTTATTCTTAAGTGTTTAAACTTAACTGAAAAGTGATCGCTGTTAAATATGAGTGGGAATAAGAGAGGGAAGAGATGTGCAATTCGGGACATGCTCAAGCTGACTTACCTGAAACGGTAGAGTTAGAAACATACCAGGGGATTCCAATTCAATCCCATCAAGGTGGCATGTACCAATGACATCTCACTAGTCCCTCTGATCAATTTCTGTTCACAATTGATCAGAATGATAGGACTAAGAGCCAAAGGGAGCACACAAAGAACACTGGTGTCTGCAAATACTAGCTGATCGAATAAAAAAGGAAAGAATGATCCAACATGGGAAGTGAGATACACAGCAGACCCATAGAATGGCAGATGTCCTGAACAGCACTCTGGCCTCAGAATCAGCCCTTAAGGCACACAGATCTGGATGAAAAGCCCATGAAAGTATTATAGGCTTGGAAAGCCAAAACACTCTGGCAAAAAAAATAGGGACCTAAATGAAAGATCTCCATGAGTGAGATCACAGTGAACAGAACGGGTCATCAATGAAGGAGGTACCTTTCTCTGAAGGGAGGAGAGAACTTCTACTTTGACTACAACCTTGTCTAAATAAGATAAGAGTCAGTGAACTCAAAAGGCTTCCATAGCCTTGCCGACTCATGACAAGAGCCTAGGGTGATTACTGAGGCCATAAACAAGAGTGTCAATTTGTTAAGTCAACAACAGGAGTCACTGTGCACTTACTCCTCATGTAGGATCTCTGTCCTTAATGTGCTGTACATTGTGATTTAATGCTGTAACTAGTACTCAAACAGTATTTTTCACCTTGTGTTTCTATATGGGTGCAAACTGTTGAAATCTTTACTTCATATATGCTAAACTGATCTTCTGTGTATAAAGAGAATTGAAAATGAATCTTGATGTGAATGGAAGGGGGGAGGGAGAGGCAAAGGGGAGGGTTGCGGGTGGGAGGGAAGTTATGGGGGGGAGCCATTGTAATCCATAAGCTATACTTTGGAAATTTGTATTCATTAAATAAAAGTTAAAAAAAATGCACAATTGTTTCATAACATACATTTTCCATGAATTTTTGAAGACTTCTCATTGCATGGAGTGCATCCTTTCCATTCCTAATCTTTTTTAGTGAATCATTTGCATTCAGATTGACTCTACTTTTAGTTTCTACACATTAGAGAGAACAGGAGATATTTGCTCTCTGATTTAGATTTACTTTTCTTGTTAACTGAACAGACTACAAGTTTCATCATTGTACTGGTAATAAATCAAACTCATCAAGACAATGAACTTTCATTTTTATGTAAGTCAGTGAATTCTGTGTGTGTTGTGGCTATACTTCATCTCAATTTGTATGAGCCTCTATTAAAAACCTCACTAGTAGCATCAGAGCAGTGAGTACCCAATGGAAAATGTGTTTTGCTTAAAATACTAGGCATCTCATTTATAGCAGTATGAGTTTAGAAAACTTCTGAGTGGAATACTAGAGTTCTCTTATTGCCCTCTTGTCCCATCCTTATTAGATTTACATCATTAGCAATACATCACACTGATATGCAAGCACAAATGATTAGTCAGTGTTGATCATCACTATTACCTACAGGACATACTATCCATTGTGTTCACTCTCGTGTTGTGTAGTATGTGGGTTTTGCAAAAGATTAAAGGTATGTAGCTGCCCTGTCCATCATAATAGTTCTGAAAGTCACTTGCATTCAAGCAGTACAGTTGTCTACAGCCATCACCCTGCCCTTGGTGTTTGTGGTGGTGGGAATAAAGAGGTGACTTCTGGCTGCTGTTGTCTGTCTTATGGTAAAAAGCAAAGAGTACTCAAATAGTTACTAGTTCTCATGAGAGCATCAACCAAGGTTGAAGGTGCAAAAACAGATCCACATGAGATGACCGTGGTTAACACTAGTGGAAGGGTTTCTTGTTTTACACCTGAAGATGTGGTGATTTGACATACAGAATAGGAACTTCTGAATTCAGGGTGATTACTGGTTCCACAGTGATTGAAAACCACATGTCCTAGTGGGTATCTCTCTATACATGATTTGTTTGGGGTCTATGTGGCATCAAGACCATATGTGCCTGCCCAAAAATGCAGTGTGGGAGGCTGCCCTGTGGCTCTTTATCTTTAAAGTGTGTGACACAGGAGTTTTCTTGTCTGAAACCTTTATGAGAACGTTGCCTGATGCTGCCCTTCATGCCATCTGATGTAATCCAGGTACATAATTGCCAAAAGTTCATGGTGAGGTTTATTGACAAAGCCCATTGACCAAATGTAACTGAGAGGAGTTTCTCCCTTGAGTCTTTTTATCCATGAACTTGGAGGAAATCCTGGCACCTGGGGTGAAGAGGATGAATCACAAACATGTTTTCTTTCCTGTATTTTGCACCTGGCAGAAGACCTGAGCTGCAAAGCCTGAGGGCAGAAAGGGTTTACGATTCCCCCATGGACAAATGGACAGCTGGTGGAAAAAGTCAGATGGAGCAGTATTAAAGTGGCTTGATTCAAGGAATCACACACACACACACACACACACACACACATGCTATATGTATGCACCTGCATAACCCTGCACGTTCCACTGTGGTTGTGTCCTAGGGTTTTTCCCAGACTCTGAAAATGTTTCCTTGGATTTTTCTGTTGCTTTTTCTGCAGCTATATCTCCTTGTGATTTGTCAGGATGGTCCCAAGTGCTATTCCAAGATTGAACGGAGTTTTTACAAGGATGGAGACATTGAGATTGCTTCCTTTTTCCCCATTTACATACACCTCGTTAACAGACTCATGAATATTTTCCAAAGCGATCTCACATTCATCCGGTAAGTTCCCTTTGCCATAATCATTTTCCCTTGATTTACATAATAGCTACTTGTTATTCGGTCTGCAGACCCAATAGACATATGTGGTTTCCTACTCTTTGCATTCTCTGTCTCTCCTAAAAAGTGCTGATAATTAATTTGGAGCATGAGGTGACATTTTCTTTCTTGTGTTCATGCACGGTTCAGGGAAAGGTTTTCTAATCGTAGGAGGACAGAGAGTCAGGTTGGGATCTTCCTGTGCTTCCCTGTCCATGTTCATCTACTCAGGTGCCTGTTGTGCCTCAGTATTAGATTCTTACGGAACCCATGCACTGTAATGAATGAACTGAGTTACATGAGCTCTTCCACATGTGCACACAATCTTTTCTACTATGTACTAGATTTGGGGCCATGAGAACACTTCATGTCTTCTACATTGTAAAGAAGAAAAGATATTCAAGAGAGTAAGTTTTCACTAGTTAAAAGCAATCTTGGCTCAACACCTTTGCACAAATATAATAATTATATTTTAATGATGAACATAAGAAATTTAATGTTTTTAATCTACAACCCTCATGATGTGTCCCTGATTCTTTCCTTTTCTGGGAAAAATACATTTCAGAAGGGGGATTATTCTGCTTCCACCCCTCTTTAAGATACATTTTTAGAGCTAAATATAAATGTTTTATATATATATACATAATATACATATATAAAACATTTATATTCATATATAAATAATATTTATATATCAATAATATATATTGATATATAAATATATATAATTATTTAGTTATATTTATTTGTTATATAAATAAATACATTTTATATAAATAAAATATATTTTATATAAATAAATATATTTATTTATTTATACATATTTATATATAATATATATATATATAAAGCGACTCCAGTCCACCCAGGGAGTGTTTCCAGCTTCTCCAAAGTGCTCCTCCCTTTTCACTGTTTCCCTTCTTTCAAGCTCTGAATCTGATTTCATTTTTCTGGCTTGGGATGGTCCTTGATCGGTACATTTGATGGGGAAGAGATTTTTCTCGATAAACTCCAAGATTCCATCTACCATTCTCCATGCTTTGATGTCATCCAAATTTCTGATCACATAGCCTTCAGCTGAGTTATTCTCTTTTCCCATTGCATCCTGCAGCCTTGTGATCATATGACTCTTATTTCAAGAAGTATTTGTGATGTGACATTATGGTGTAAAAGCAGATCTTATTTTATAGAATCTTTTAGGCTGGGTGACCCGGATAAAGATACTAGCAGCTTTGGTTCTGGTGAGGACAACTGTCCTGCAAATATGATGCTCTTGACACTCTGTCCTAAGCAAATGCACATATAAAGATTAGAACACTTGAATTTTTGACCATGACCAATCCATCTGTCAGAGTAATTACAGTAGAATTGATGATAATCTGGATTGGAGGCTTTTCCCTTAAAGATCCTTGTGCCTTTCATGCAGGTTTCAATCCAAAAACTACCAATATGTTCTGGCCTTGGTTTTTGCTATTGAGGAGATCAACAAGAACACCCATCTTTTACCCAACATGACATTGGGATTTGATCTCTATAATGTCATGCACAGTGACATGATGGTGATGGAGAATCCCTTCATCTGGCTTGCGGGAATGGAAAAGTATGTTCCCAATTACACGTGTAGGAAACAGAGCAAGTCTGTAGCCGTAATATCAGGAACAAGCATTGCTGCCCAAATGGGGACACTCCTGGAACTCTACAAAATTCCACAGGTGAGTGTGTAAGGGAGAGGGAAAAAGCACATCACCTTAGGCGCCTTACTTAGACCCAAAAGTTTAAGTGACAGAGACCTTATATATTTCACACAGTGCATATTCTAAGGAGAAGGTGTGCAGAGATTTGGTGAAGTAGCCACATTTGTTCTAAAGTGATGTGGGTGAGTGATAATGAGAAATGTTTTCCTCAACCTGTGAGTCTAATGACTCATGAACTAGGAAGTTTATATGTAATGGGAGATGAGAAAAATGAAATATTCTAAAATCTTCTGATCCATCCATCATTTGTTTAATTTCTTCAGAAATAAGATTATTCACTATAGCAATAACCTTACACAGATTTCTTGCCTTTTCCCTTAGCTGACTCTTGGATCTTTTGAACCTCTTCTGAGTGACAGTGCTCAGTTTCCTTCTGTCTATCAGATGGCCCCCAAAGACACTTCTCTGGCCCATGGCATGGTCTCCTTGATGCTTCATTTCAGCTGGACCTGGGTGGGTTTGGCCATCTCAGACCTCCCAAAAGGTATTCAGTTTATGTCTGATTTGAAAGTCGAGATGCAGAAGAATGGCATCTGTGTAGACTTTGTGGAATTCATCCCAGTCACTGAGGAGTCACATAATTCATTCCAGAGGCTGTATCATATCCAGATCCTAAAATCATCAGCAAATGTGGTGATTCTTTTCTGTGACACTGATTCACTCATAGGCGTCAGCTTTCCAACATGGGAACGTGTAATGACATGGAAAGTCTGGGTCACCACCTCACAATGGGATTTTGCCAGCGATGAGCATCATATCCTGCTCCACTCATTCCATGGGACTCTCATTTTTTCACACCACCATAGTGAGATCTCTGGTTTCAAAAACTTTCTTCAGACAGTTAACCCTTCCAAATACCCAGAAGACTTTTACCTCTCTACATTCTGGTCACTACATTTTGATTGCTCAGTTACTGGGCCATCCTGCAAAACCTTGAGAAACTGTCCACTGAATGCCTCCTTGGAATCCTTGCCTTTTCATCATTTTGATATGAGCATGAGTGATGGGAGTTACAACATATACAATGCTGTGTATGCTGTGGCCCACAGTGTACATGAGATGCTTCTACAAGAGTTAGAAATGCAGCCAGTGAGCAGTGGGTCAAAGGTGGAATTTTCTCCTTGGCAGGTAATTTGGTTTCCTTTGCATGACTTGTATTATTGGAATGATCCCCTTAAAAGCTTCTGCGGGTTTTCAAACCAATAACTTGGGATCCTTCCTTCAATCACAAGATATAAATGAGCCTTTTTTGTAATTTGTGATTAGAAACAGGGTTCCATTTTCAAGTGGGAAGGTAACTTGGATAAGCATCAGTGCTGTGTCTTAAAAATTACTCTCCCATCCTGACAATTTAATTATGACTTGTGAATACCTAGACTGTGTCATTCCATTTTCAATCTAAGCAGTAAAGAAATTATTACTTTTTAGTGTCAAATGTTGCTGAGTATGCTCATCCACAATGTACATAAGACATCTCATTAAATTGCATATTATTTTATTCTGGTAACTGCATTACAGATGGTTGTCCTAGGGACACTGGGAAAATAAGTGAGTGTTGGTAATGTGGACCACATTTTGAAACTGTCATAATTTCACAGTTAGATATTTTTGATTGCCCTTGTTTTTGGATGAACGTGAGTGAAATCACACTTATTTTGATGTAGTCCTCATCAGGTTTTTAGTTTTAATTCATTGGGTGGCTATAAAAAGTTCCCTTTGTTTATTTGTGATTACAGACAAAAGGCTTTCTCTAACCTGGGTTTGATGTGTTATTGCTTGGGCAGTCTTCATGAGAATATGATGCATTTTTTCAGTTGCACCCATTTCTCAAGAACCTCCAACTTACCAATCCTGCGGGAGACCTAGTGAATTTGAATCACATGAGGAATTTGGAAGCTGAATATGACATTCTCAACTTTCTGAATTTTCCATATGGTGTTGGACATAAGGTTAAAGTAGGACAGTTTTCCCCGTATGTTCCACAGAGCCAACAGTTGTCTCTCTCTGAGAATTTGATAGAGTGGGCCACAGGAATTACAGAGGTAAGTTGGTTTGATCATAAGATTCACACTATACATTGTTACCCTCCAATTAATATGGGGATTTGTGCAACTTGGCTTATTATAACATACTTAGAGACATTAAACCACACCCCTCCCAATCTAAATACTTTGTTATGTTTTTAGTGTCTGAGGATGGACAGTACACACACTTGTTCCTCCACATGTTTTGAATCTTTTTATTTAGGAAATAAACTTGCATGTCATGATTGTGTCAGAAATAGGTGTTTACAGTTTCAGTGAATAGGTTGTGCAGGACTTGAAAACCCTCTACTTGGAACAGAAGTAACATTCCCAATATGACCAATATTCATTTGATTTTTCTCAGACTCCACGTTCAGTATGCAGTGAGAGTTGCAGCCCTGGATTCAGGAAAGCCCCTCTGGAGGGGAAGCCTACCTGTTGTTTTGATTGCACACCTTGTTCTGAGAATGAGATTTCCAATCAGACAGGTATGTCAGTGCCAGCTTCATGGAGAAATTAACACCTGTTTCTTAGAATTTCCTCTTCTCCATGAAAAGAAAAGGATGTGGATTATGACTGCTGAGAAGATTCTTTTCATCTTCTGGTGGAAGTTAAACCTTATATTCAGTAATAATCCCTAAAAGGATAAAATTTTGCACACTATACTTTACCACATGTAGTATTTGCAAAATCATTTAGGTAAATTCATGTCTGCATTCCTTGTGTGTGTTTAGATAAAATGCTTTCACCAAATTCAAATATAGCATGCTTGCAGTGAGAAAGCACAACTCTCATCAAACTGTGTGTAAGACGAAAAGCTGTATTAGAAATTATATAGTATATCATGCTAAGGATAACACTCATCAGATATCATAAATGAGCTAAGCTTAGCCTTTGAGAAAAATCATTGCTTATGAAAATATATATCTTCAGGAACATTCCTATGCATACACACATACACTCATGAGTAAAATTTATTTCAAAATAATACATGCTGACATGCATGGTAAAAAGAATGCATAGCAAGGTAGGTTAATGACATCAAATTCAACACAAACCCTTGAAGATAGGATGTGGACATTATAAGGAAACTGAGGTAAATAAAAATTGGAAGAGCTTATAGGTGGTGCTCATAAAACAAGCAAAATTTATGAACCTCAGAAAGTTGGAACAGTACTAAAAACAAGATTACAATGTCTGTGTGTGTTACACAAAGAGAGCTGAAGAGATCTCTGCACAGATATAAAAATAGTAATACTAGAACTTTTTAATCATTTAATGGTGATAGTTTGAATAGAGAAGAAATGAAATACATTGAGAAATTTTTAAAAAATTCAAGTATCTTGAAGATTATTAAAATAATGCTTAATACTTTTATTGTGATAAACACTTTCACATAGGAAAGGAACTCTTTCTCAACTCCTGTACAGAATAGGAAAAATGGAAAAATTCTGTTTCTTCTACAGAAACATCTTAACTTGTTTGGTCAAATACTGCCAGATATTTCAGTAAAATGAAATTGTAAGACACTGTTGTTGAAATAAATTCACACATTTGAAATTTTAAACAACATAAATCCAACAGTATTTTTAAATAGGTTACATCATGCCCAATGCCTTGCATACAATAATAGTAATAAGAATAGCATAACTGAACAAAAACATTTAACAAATCTAAGTGATCTGAGAATTATACAAGAAGAACAAGACAACTCAAAAATGCCAAAAAGAAGGATCAGTTTTCAATCCTAAAGTGTGCTTTAGAATGCTAAAATCATGGAAGTTATGGCTGAAGATTGGATACAAAGTTGAAGAAAGAGTGCAACTTATGCAGGAAATTACCAGGATGGTCTGCTTTGTGCATATAATAGAAATGAAAGCCATGCAACTTATTATAAAGGAAGATATAAAAGTGGCATCATTTTCAACTAATCTTGGGATGGTGTAATACAATCAAAACTCAGTAACTGAGTTAAGTAGTGCTGGAATACTAGATTAAATACAAAAAAAAAAAACGGTTATTTTTGCTTACCAATTCTGGAAAACAAAGCTCTGAAAATGAGCACATGTAATATCTCAAAAGTAGGAACTATCCAAAGATAAGACCACCTAAATTTTGGAAGACATCTTCAAGTTGCAATATCTGACATCGATGGAGCAATGTATAGAAGGGGATACTGACAGAGAAAGAAAATTCATGTTCAAGGATAAAAAGGCAGCAAAGTGGAACTATGCCAGTAGGGTTCAAGGTGATCTCCAGACTGACTTTGATTACAGGCAGCATCCCAGTGTGTTCCTTGATGGAAATCTGCTCAAGGGTGGCATCTTATCCAGAAGGTATCAAGTGTACAACTCTTCTGCATTTCTCTAGAACTTGACCATCTGCTTTCTAATGGTGATCTCTCAATCAGTGCTTGCCCATAGAATGGCTATCCAGATCCTACCTTAGAGAGATGTGGTTTAGTGAGATAACAGGGTACTTTCTGTGCACCCCAAGTTCACACAGTAAATATCCCAGTGCATGAAATTAAGAGTGGGAACCTGGGCCAGTACTGTGACTAGGAGTCGAAGCCTCTGGCTGGAATGCCAGCATCCCAGTTGGGCTGCAGTTCCAGTCTCAGCTGCTTCACTTCCAATGCAGCTCTCTGCTGATGCTTAGGAAAGCAGCAGAAGACAGCCCAAGTTTCTGAGTCCACACCATGTAGGAGACCCAGAAGAAGCTCCCATTTATTGCCTTAAGACAGCCTAGTTCCAGCTATTACCATCATTTGGGGTGTGAATCACTGGTGGAAGATTTCTTCCTTTCTCTTTTTCCCTCTTTCTCTTTCCCCTTCTCTTTTTCCCTGTCCTCCTGTCCTTCTCTCTCTCCCTCTCACTCTCCCTCTCTCCTACTTCTCCTCCTCCTTCCAAAACTCTGCCTTTCATTAAATTATAAATAAATAAATAAATAAACACTCCTTAGAAATAAAACTGGGATCCTTTGGTCATTAAGAGGGCCATGAGAATCCAGAAGGAATAACACCATTAAAACAAGGGCTTACTGCAGGCATAAAAAGCCAAGACTCTGGCAAAAAATAGCCTCCATGGAGGATCTCCGTGAGACCTAAATGGAAAGAAATGGTCATCAAAGAAGAATATACTCTTCTCAGAAGGGAGGAGAGAACATCCAACTGCTTATGGCAATGTCCAAATATTGATGGCAGCCCATGTCAAGAGCCTCGGCTGATCACTGATGTCATACATAAGAGTGTTAATTGTTAAAGGAATAACAGAGTCACCGTGCATTTATTCCCCATGTAGGAACTCCATCCATAATGAGTTGTGCTTTGAGAATTGACTGCAATTTTTCCCCAAACTCTATTCTATATGTAGTTTGTCTTCATGGATGCAAACTGTTCAAATCTATGCTTAATATGGAGTTGGTCTTCTATATTTAAAATCAAACTAAAAATGAGCCATAATAAAGAAGGAGATGGGAGAGGGGGAGGGAGGTGGGATGAGAGTTGGGATGGGAAGGTGGTTTTAGGGGAAGGAACCCCTATATTCCCAAAGTTCTATCTATGAAAAAAGCATTAGTTAAAAAAAGTTGAATTATGAAAGAATGTATTCATTAAGAAAACAAGGACTGCTGCTTGCTCTTGTTCAAAGTGAGGATGCAGCAAGCATGTGCAATGTATAAAGGTCAGAGTAGTCTTTACCACACATAGAAACCCCTGGCATCTTGATCATCACTTCCCAATCTGAAGAAACCGTGAAGAATGAATTTGTGGTGTTAAAATGAAACAGGTAAAAAGGTAGGTTTTTAAAGTACCATGAGTAGGTTCAGAGAGTAGCCCTTAGTACTTTGTTAGGACAAAAAGAGCATGTACTCATGAGTATGTAAGGTACTTAGGGAGATGGAGTAATAACTCTGGCTAACATGAGGAAGATGGGCATGAATAATGGCCAATAATTTGTAGATGTCATCTTATATGCTATTTCAACACTAAATAAGGACTACTTGCTTAAACTGGCTAAGTCGGGTCCTTGTGAATCAGGAAATTGGGATGATGTTATTGTATGTTTCTCACTAGATATGGACCAGTGTGTGAAGTGTCTAGATCTTCAGTATGCCAACACAGAGCGAAACCAGTGCTTCCACAAAAGAGTGACCTTTCTGTCGTTTGAAGATGCCCTGGGGATGACCCTGGTCTGCACAGCTCTGTGCTTCTCTGTCCTCACCGTTGTTGTCCTTGGGGTCTTTGTGAAGCACCGAGACACTCCCATAGTCAAGGCCAACAATCGTTGTCTCAGCTACATCCTGCTCATCACCCTCATCTTCTGCTTCCTCTGCTCCTTACTGTTCATTGGTCGTCCCAACAAAACCACCTGTGTCCTCCAGCAGACCACATTTGGAGTGGTATTCACTGTGGCTATTTCCACTGTCCTGGCCAAAACTATCACTGTGCTTCTGGCCTTCAGGGTCACTGGCCCAGGGAGAAGAATGAGACACTGGCTGATATCAGGGTTACCTAACTCCATTATTCCCATCTGCTGCCTGATCCAACTGGCTCTCTGTGGCTTCTGGCTTGGGACTTCTCCTCCCTTTATTGACACAGATGCACACTCTGACCATGGCCACATCATCCTGGTGTGCAACAAGGGCTCGGTCACTGCCTTCTACTGTGTCCTGGGCTACCTGGGTTCCTTGGCCCTGGCCAGCTTTACTGTGGCTTTCCTAGCCAGGAATCTGCCTGACACCTTCAATGAAGCCAAATTCCTGACATTCAGCATGCTGGTGTTTTGCAGTGTCTGGCTGACCTTCTTGCCTGTCTACCACAGCACCAAGGGGAAGGTCATGGTGGCTGTGGAGGTCTTCTCCATCTTGTGCTCCAGTGCAGGGCTCCTGGGCTGCATCTTTGTTCCCAAGTGCTACATTATTCTCTTTAGACCTGAGAAGAATGCTTTGAAAGGATTCAGGGATAGAATAATTTCCAAGGAAACAGATGTTCTCAGGAATAGCTCTTAGGCTCTCTCAGTTTTCAATGGTTAGAAACTAAAATTTATAAAACTGATTTTGCATTGTGATGTTATAAAATAACTTGCAGCATGTGACCTCCTTATGAACAATTTATACTTTTCTTTTTTTTTTTTTTTTTTAAATTTTTTTTTTTTTTGACAGGCAGAGTGGACAGTGAGAGAGAGAGACAGAGAGAGAAAGGTCTTCCTTTTGCCGTTGGTTCACCCTCCAATGGCCGCCGCTGCAGCCGGCGCACCGCGCTGATCCTGGCAGGAGCCAGGAGCCAGGTGCTTTTCCTGGTCTCCCATGGGGTGCAGGGCCCAAGCACCTGGGCCATCCTCCACTGCACTCCCTGGCCATAGCAGAGAGCTGGCCTGGAAGAGGGGCAACCGGGACAGAATCCGGCGCCCCAACCGGGACTAGAACCCGGTGTGCCGGCGCCGCAAGGTGGAGGATTAGCCTATTGAGCCACGGCGCCGGCTCAATTTATACTTTTCTTAAAACATTTTTGTTCTGAAGGACCAATCCACAGAAAATGAAGAGAGAGTGGGATAAACCTTCCATCTTGTGATGGAATGTGAAGATATCTGTAGTGGGCCAGTGCTGGTTCATGCCAAAGCAAGGAGGTTAATTCAGGTGTCCATGTGAGTACCAGGGACGGAAAGGCTTAGGCCATCTTCCAGAGACTTTTCTAGATCTTAACAAGGAGCTGAGTTGCAAGTGGAGCAGACAGGCCATGAACTCGCACCAACATGGGATGTTAGGTTTACAGGTGGTGGTTATATCCACAACACCCTCATGGTGGTCCTAATCCTCCTCCTTCAAAATAATACTGTGTACTAATTTCTTAGCCTGGGTTTTATGTTCATAAGCACAAACCCATCTCATTTCTTTTCAATCCTGTATTTTCATTGTCAACTCATTGACCTTGTTATCTTCCTATTTTGATAAAATGAATTACACATTTGGTTGCTACTTTTAATCATTCATTGGAGTCTATACTAAAATCAGCTTAGTAATATAGTTGGAATATTTCAGTGCAATCATTAGACATGTTGTCATTATAATATGTATAATTCATTGTCCAGAAACTCCTTAATTATATATCATTTCATATGAATTTCAAATGATGTGATACACACCAAGATTTCATTATATGTAGAAGTGATTCTGCAAACTTTTCCATCTGTTCATTTTGTTTATTATAAATTTTGCTTTGATTTTCTTTTGCCAGTGCCAGACATAAGAAGTTTCTATTTGATGTAATCCCAATTGTTAATTTTCGCTTTGAATGCCTGTGACTCTGGGCTCTTTTCCAAGAATTCTTTGCCTGTGCCTATATCTTGCAGGGTTTCTCCAATGTTCTCCAATTATTTGATGGTGTTGGGTCATAGATTTAGATCTTTAATACATGTTGAGTGGATCTTCGTGTAAGGTGTAAGATAGGGGTCTTGCTTCATGCTTCTGCACGTGGAAATCCAGTTTTCCCAGCACCATTTGTTGAATAGACTATCCTTGCTCCAGGCATTGGTTTTAGATCCTTGATCAAATACAGGTTGGCTGATGATGTTTAGATTGATTTCTGGTGTTTCTATTCTGTTCCATTGGTCTACCCATCTGTTTCTGTAGCAGTACCATGCTGTTTTGAATATAACAGCCCTGTAGTATGTCTTGAAATGTGGTATTGTGAAGCCTATGGCTGTGTTTTGTTGTACAAGATTGCTTTAGCTATTTGAGATATCCTGTGTCTCCATATGAATTTCAGCATCATTTTTTACAGATCTGTGAAGAATGTCTTTGGTATTTCGATTGGTATGGCATTGAATCTATAAATTGCTGTTGGGAGAATGGACATGTTGATGATACTGATTTTTCCGATCCATGAGCATGAAAGATTTCTCCATTTTTTGGTATCATCTTCTATTTCTTTCTTTAAGATTTTGGATTTCTCATCATAGAGTTCTTTAACATCCTTGGTTAAGTTTATTCCAAAGTGTTTGATTATTTTTGTGGCTATTGTGAATGGGATTGATATTAACAGTTCTTTCTCAGCCATGTCATTGCCTGTGTATACAAAGGCTGTTGATTTTTGGGCATTGATTTTATATCCTGCTACTTTGCCAAACTCTTCTATGAGTTCCAATAGTCTCTTAGTAGAGTTCTTTGGATCCTCTAAGTAAAGAATCGTATCATCTGCAAAGAGGAATAGTTTGACTTCTTTCTTCCCAATTTGTATCCCTTTAATTTCTTTTTCTTGAAGGTACCTTTCTCTGAAGGGAGGAGAGAACTTCCACTTTGACTATGACCTTGTCTAAATATGATCAGAGTTGGTGAACTCAAAAGGCTTCAATAGCCTTGGTGACTCATGACAAGAGCCTAGGGTGATTACTGATGCCACAAAAAAGAATGTCAATTTGTTAAGTCAACAACAGCAGTCACTGTGCACTTACTCCTCATGCAGGATCTCTGTCCTTAATGTGCTGTACATTGGGATTTAATGCTATAACTAGTACTCAAACAGTCTTTTTCACTTTGTGTTTCTATGTGGGTGCAAACTGTTGAAATCTTTACTTCATATATGCTAAACTGATCTTCTGTATATAAAGAGAATTGAAAATGAATCTTGATGTGAATGGAAGGGGGGGGAGAGGCAAAGGGGAGGGTTGCGGGTGGGAGGGAAGTTATGGGGGGGAAGCCATTATAATCCATAAGCTGTACTCTGGAAATTTATATTCATTAAATAAAAGTTAAAAATTTTCTTTTTCTTGCCTAATTATTCTGGCTAAAACTTCCAGAACTATATAGAAATGCAGTGGTGAAAGTGGGCATCCCTATCTGGTACCAGATCTCAGTGGAAATGCTTCCAACTTTTCCCCATTCAATAGGATGCTGGCCGTGAGTTTTCATAAATTGATTTGATTGTACTGAGGAATGTTCCTTCTATACCCAATTTGCTTACAGTTTTCTTCATGAAAGGGTGTTGTATTTTATCGAATGCTTTCTCTGCATCTGTTGAGATAATCATATGTTGTTTTTGCAGTTTGCTACTGTGGTGTATCACATTGATTTATCTGCAAACATTGAACCATCATCCCTGCATACCAGAGATAAATCCTACTTGGTCTGGGTGGATGATCTTTCTGATGTGTTGTTGCATTCTATTGGCCAGATTTTATTGAGGATTTTTATGTCTATGTTCATCAGAGATATTGGTCTGTAATTCTCTTTCTCTGCTGCATCTTTTTCAAGTTTAGGAATTAAGGTGATGCTGGCTTCATAGGAAGTATTTGGGAGGATTCCTCTTTTTTGATTGTTCTGACTAGTTTGAGAAGAATTGGAGTTAGTTCTTTAAATGTCTGGTAGAATTTAGCAGTGAATCCATCTGGCCCTGGGCTTTTCTTTGTTAGGAGGGACTTTATTGCTTATTCAATTTCTGTCTCAGTTATGGGTCTGTTTAGATTTTCTATGTCTTCATGGTTCAATTTATGCAGGTGGTATGTGTCCAGGAATCTATCCATTTCTGATAGATTTCCCTGTTTACTGGTATACAACTCTTTCTAATAATTTCTGATGACTCTTTATTTCTGTGGTGTCTGTTGTTACATTTCCTTTTTCATCTCTGATTTTATTGATTTGGGTCCTTTCTCTTCTTTTTTTAGTTAGTTGGTCCAATTGTGTGGCAATTGAGTTTTTATTCAAAAAGCCATCCATTCATTTTGCTGATCTTTTGTATTTTTTTGATTCAATTCTGTTGATTTCTTTTCTAATTTTAATTATTTCTCTTCTCCTAATAGTTTTGCATCTGGTTTCTCTAGTTTTTCTAGATCCTTGAGATGCATTGGCTCTCATTATTTGGTCCCTTTCCAATTTCTTGATGTAGGCACCTATTGCTATAAACTTTCTTCTTAACACTCATTTTGCTTTATCCTGTAATTTTTATATGTTGTGTTGTTATCCTCATTAACTTCCATAAAGTTGTTGATTTCTGTTTTGCTTCTTCTATGACTCACTGTTCATTTCAGAGCATGTTGTTCAGTCTCCATGTGTTTGCATGTGATCTAGGGATTCCTGAGTTGCTAATTTCCAGCTTCATTCCTTTGTGGTCTGAAAAGATACATGGTTTGATTTCGATTCTTTTTAATTTTCTGAGACTTGCTTTATGGCCTAGTATGTGGTCAATCCTAGAGTAGGTTCCTTGTACAGCTGAGAAGAATGTGTATTCTTTAAGTATAGGATGAAAAGTTATGTAGATATATGTTGGATTCAGTTGGTCTATAGTGTTTATTAAATCTGCTGTTTCCTTGTTGATCTTCTATCTGATCGATCTGTCTATTTCTGAGAATGGAGTATTGAAGTCCCCCTATACTACTGTATTGGAATGTAAGTCTTCTTTTTAAGTTCCTAAACATATCTTTTAAATAACCTAGTGTCCTGTGATTAGGTACATGTACTTTTATAATAGTTACATCTTCCAATTAGTGTTGAATTGAACACTTAAGCATTATATACTGCCCCTCTTTGTCTCTCTTAACAGGTTTTTTGTTAAAGTTTATTTTGTGTGATATTAAGATGGCTATGCCAGCTCTTTTTTGGTTTCTGTTGGCATAGAAACACTTTTTCCAACCTTTCACTTTTAGTCTGCATGCTCCTTTGTTGGAAAGATGTGCTTTTTGCAAGCAGAAAATTGATGGGTTTTGTTTTTTAATCCAGCCAGCCAGTCTATGTCTTTTAATTGGAGAGTTGAGGCCATTTACATTCAATGTGACTATTGATAAGTAGTGACTTTGCCCTGTCATTTTTTCCAAAGATATTTCTAATAAATTCTTTGAGCTTCCTGTGATCTTTTACTGATCGATTTTCTTCCTTTACCTTTTTTGTATCACTGGCCATGTATCTATGTTTCTGTGTGTAACAAATCTTTAGGCATCTTTTGCAGGGCTGGATGAATGGTGACAAATTCTTTCAATTTTTTTTTTTTTTGCTATGAAAGGTCTTTATTTCACCTTCAT